ATTCCTCAACTGTGTGAGTTCATGTATAATTTTGCACCCAAAATGAAAATTTTGTCACTTATGCACACTCAGTGTACACTCGTTTTCTCCTATAGAACCAAAAATGAGATATTTTGAAGTAAATAATGTATTACTAGTGTATATACTACTGTTCGAAATTTGGTGTCAGTACGTTTTTTTTTTTTTAAAGTTTTTGAAAAGTCTCTTCTGCTCACCAAGGCTGCATTCATTTGATCAAAAATAGAAACTGAATATTTATTTTAAAATAATAATAATAATAATAAATAATTAATATTGTGAAATATTATTACAATTTAAAATTGCTGGTTTCTATTTGAATATATTTTAAAGTAATTTATTCCTGTGATGTAATGCTGAATTTTCATCATCATTACTCCAGTCTTCAGTGTCACATTATGGGTTTATATATATATATATATATATCTATATATATATACTGTATATGAATGATGTGGCTGATAAATATATATAAAATATATAAATATATATAAAAAGTGTATATACAAATATATACACATTTTTTTTAATTATACAAAATATTTGTATAATTTATGTAAAGATTAATTAATTAATTATTATATATGTGACCCTGAACCACAAAACCAGTCAAAAGGATACATTTTTTGAAATTGTGATGTATACATCATCTGAAAGCTGAATAAATAAGCTTTCCATTGATGTATGGTTTGTTAGGATAGAACAATATTTGGCCGAGATACAACTATTTTAAAATCTGGAATCTGAGTGTGCAAAAAAAATAAAAATATTGAGAAAATCACCTTTAAAGTTGTCCAAATGAAGTTCTTAGCAATACATATTACTAATCAAAAATTAAGTTTTGATATATTTATGGTAGGAAATTTACAAAATATCTTCATGGAACATGATCTTTACTTAATATCCTAATGATTTTTGGCATAAAAGAAAATCGATAATTTTGACCCATACAATGTATTTTTGGCTATTGCTACAAATATACCCGTGCTACTTATGACTGGTTTTGGGTCCAGGGAGACACACACACACACACACACACACACACACACACACACACACACACACACACACACACACACACATACATACATATTAAGAACTTTGATTCGAAAAAAATCTGATATATGAACCAGTTCAACTGATTCAGTTAAAAGAATCAATTCAACAGAACAACTTTTGACTTTAGCTCACTGGGTGAAGTTGTATATCCTTTTCTCTCTGGGTAATGATTTGGTCTTATGCAAAATGCTAAAAGCTAAATATGAATGTCATTGAGACTCCTGGACTGTGTATCTAGCAAATGATGCTTTAAATGATTACTTTTACAATCACTTGTTTTCTTGGATCATAAAGTTAATTGTAAACACCAAAAAAAGTGGCAAGTAAACCGGATTAAACCGAAACAAATTAGCGTTCCCACAGAAGCTGCAACATTTGAGGAATTAGAGCATATGAGAAGGATTTAAAGATCAGTAGGTCTTATTAAAAGCTGTGCTGAAATCCCACTTACACAATGATGTGGCTACGCTTCAGTTTTTCACTCTTACTTTGCTCCGTGTAACAATTTTCCTGCTTGTGGTTGTGTATTTAGTGTAGTGTGTAGTATCTATAGTAATACTAAACTTTATACTCATGTCATTATTGAGTTGAGCTCAAGAATAGGGTTCAATAACCGTCCCAAGCACCTAATAAACCACTTTCCACTTCAGGTGTCAGATTGCACGTGACCTTTGACCCCAGGAAGTGTTTGTGGGAGTCTGCAGCTGTTAGACCGACACCTCGTTTCCTCTTTGACTGATTACTTCTGTCAAACCAGCTTCTGTGTTATGATAAATATGAATTGAATTCAATTAGAAAGGATACGTGTCTGTGACCCCGTTAAAAAATACTAACATTTGTTTCCTGGGGATTCATTTTACATGCGCAAAAAGCAGCAAATAACAGAATATGAGGATTCACATGGTCATATATCACATCACGCACCTGCAGCGCTTCTGCCAGTGGAGAAAAACATGATAAAGCTAGGCTATAGGCCTATATATATAACGATAAATAGCCCTATACGAGAAATATATTTTTACTTAAATAATAAATTAAGAAAATGAAAGAAAAACTGTAACAAGTAGCCTAGTATGCAGAGTTTCAGTTCATTTTTGTGCTGCGCGAAAGGAAACAGACGACAGAAAGTGGCATCCTATTTTTCTTTAAGCTTATTTTACAAAAGCACAAAGATTTGTATTTATTGTGAATGTACACAAATAAAGGCAAACCTTTTACAATTCCAATTATCTTTAGGACTAAAAGGAGTAGTTGCTTCCACTGTTTGAAGGAAAAAATTCAAGTGATTGCGCCGGCGCCGCGTGCGCACACACAGTTAAGCATTGTTACCTTGACAATGCAGCATGTTCATTATCATAATAAAATACAGTCAGTCAAACATATGGAAAAAAACCTATGTAGTAAAAAAAAAAATGTAATAAAATCTGTGCCGTTAAGTGTTACCACCGCACCGCCGTGAATGATGTTATGCAAAACTTTTTTTTTTATGTGGATATTGGAACGCGAGTGAAGTAGGCTTGTATGGCCAAATATACATACATAATAAATAATATTTTGGCATTCAAATACATCACGAATACGGAAACATTTGATTTTGTGTGGAATGAGAGACCTAACGGTGGTTTCAGTTTCGTTTTAGCCTAAATGAATTCGTTTTGGCTTGTCGTTTAGCTATAGCTTCTTATATTTTTAATTCTTGTTCTTTTCTAAATACTGTTAATTGGAACTAGTGTTTATTTTACACGGGGGAAGTCGTGGCCATTGTAACCCAACCCAAAGGTTGCGGGTTCGAGTCTCGTCTTCGAGTGCTCTCTTCCACCTTCAATACCATGACTGAGGTGCCCTTGAGCAAGGCACTGAACCCTCAACTGCTCCCCGGGCGCCGCAGCAAAACTGCTTCGGGTGTGTGTTCACGGTGTGTGTGTGTTCACTGCTGTGTGTGTGCACTTTGGATGGGTTAAATGCAGAGCACTAATTCCGACTATGGGTCACCATACTTGGCCACATGTCATGTCACACTTATACTGTTTGTAAACATTTTGTGTCGGCATTAGGTAGGCCTATTTCTCAATAAAACTGCGACTAAAATGCGACTTAGACATTAGGCTTTTTTTTTCCCTCTAAAAAAAATAATTTTTTTTCATGCATCAACCATGCAGCAAACCTTTTTAAATATTTTGATAAATTACAAAAAAATAAATAAATGATATATTTATTTATAAATAAATTTGTAAACCGTTTAACTGATTGTATTAATCGGTCAAAATTCTTCACGGTCGGTTAACGGTTAACCGGTTAAAATGAACATCCCTACTCTGAATAGGTAAACATGGTGCAAGGGCTGCTGGGAGCTCGTGCGTCAGTCACTTACACACCTTTACTGCTTGTATTTGCTCTAGCTGCATGACATTCTTCTGCCCGGGTCTCATGATTTTCCCTATCATAAACCATAATAAACAAATCATTCAGTGTGTGCGCGCACATATACACACATTCAGATCAGACTCTCAATAGGTAACAGATTGTGTGGTTGTAGTCTGAGCTGTACTGTCATATTTCTCCCCAAAATCTTTATTTTTTTTATTTCTTATTTATATTTATATTTTAGAACAATTATGATTTTTTTCATAGTGGCAATTAAGAACATTTATTCCAAAGTTCACATGAATTTCATATCAAAATGCATTTAGATATTTTGTAGTTTTCATTATTGTGAATGTGATCGTATGTAAAAATTATAGTTTGTAAAAAAAAGACAATACAATAAATACTTAAATATTATTTGTATGATTATTACTATTAATAATAATAAGAATGCATATGTATTATATAACATTATATTGTTATATTATATTTTTATTATAAAAATATAATACAATTTTATATATTGTATGTATGTATATATATATATAAGATATATTATTAATATATATGTACTTTTTTTTTCTTACAGTATAATGCATCCATTGTAATGCATCCAAATGTTTTACTTTTGAGTTTTGTAAATTTCATTATTCTCAGAGTGTTTCTAATTAGTATTTTTACCTAATGAAAGAATACAGTATTTAGTGTTTTTTTAATTTATTAAATGCATTAATTAAAATAAAAAACGTATTAAATGCATTAATTAAAATGAAATGCAATAGAAAATAAATGCAATAAAATAAATATTACCTAAATATTTTATTTATTTGATCATTTATCTACATTATATTTATTTAAATGTAATTATATATTTAAAATATATAATTTGTAATGCTTTTTTGCATTACTGTCATGAGGGAAAATATACTTGATTATTATATCACAATGCGAAAAATATAGGGATCATTTTCACATCAGTATCTGTCCTCTTTCTTTTAATTTTGGGGGAGAAATATGACCACAAACTTTTTTGAAGATTCATTCATCTTGTACTGAATCAACACTTGATGAACATCTGTTAAATACACCTCGATCTCTATTTCCCGTTTGTGTTCCACTAGGGATGAATCAACTTTATTTAGTTTGAAATCAGATGCAGGGTTGATGCGCTGCCAGAAATCCGATTGTCAAATGCTGATCCAACATTTATGTGCACATGGCAGTCTGGCTTGCTCGATGTGTGTGAGCGGTTATTATAAACCCACAGATTATAATGCATTCGGCTCGTGTCTAACATATATTAATCACTAGAAGATAACATAACAAATCCAAGCAGGTTACACGACCACCTGGCCTTTAAACAAGGCCTGATGAACAAGTAAAGGTAAAAGGAAAGGTTAAAACACAAGTGACAGAAACGCTGTTCTGTGCAAGGCGAGATGAAACATGCTTGCGCTTTCTAGACGAAGTCTGCTTGATTCTGGGTTCGTATTGTGACTTTGTATTCAAAAATACTTTGTGTCTGACTTTCCCTTTCTGTCTGTTTTTGTGTTTTTCAGAATGGAGGATGAAGCCATAGTGGACAGAGGAGCATCTTACATCAAAAATGTGTGTGATGAAGAGGTCGAGGGTACGAAACACACACACACACACTTAAATATATAGTGGGATATTGGATCTCCTGTGTCTCAGTGATGACTGCGGAGACTTAGTTACTGTGGATTAAGTTTCACGCTCACTTTCACTCACTCCTGTCTCTCTCTTCTCTCGGCCAGCCGGTTTTTTATTTTTTTTTGTTCTTGTTTTGGTAGTAATTTGTTCTTATGGGCAGGAGAGGATTATGAGCGCTGCAGATGTAACAAACTAAAGCTCTATACACGTGAAGATGTTTACTGAATTAATCCACTCGCGCGCACACACACACACACACACTTAATCTGTTTCTACATTCAGGAGAAACGGACTAAATGTGCGCCACTTCAGCGCATTGTATTTTAGTGCAATATACTGCCGCCAAACCATCTCAGCTGCATCGTGTGCATATTTAATTGCATTTTATGATAAAAGTATAAAATGATGATCATAATAATAACAAATGTAGTAAATAAATTGATGCATTTACAAAGATGATCAGTCTAAATGTATTTTTCTAGTGCAAGACGTATGAAATTTATATAACGCACACCAGATATTTAATTTATATTCATTGAATGTTAAGAAATAAAATATTTTTGACAAAACCTATGAAAAGTACCATGATGAATCAAAATATGTAGTTCTTTACTATATATAAATATTATAGAATGTATATATACCATTATAAAATAAGAAATGTATAAAAATATGCATATAAAAAGTATATAATACACACTAGATATTTGATGTAATAATTGATAGAAATATATTATAATATAAAAATTAAATACATCTATTTGAATATAACAATAATTATTTATTTATTCATTTATTCATTCCTTCATTCATCCCTTTTATTGATCTCATTTATGTTTTTTGGGAAACTGACATTTTGAGAAGTACATGAAATATTTGATTAAATATTTTAAAAATCACACTCCGTTGGATCAATTTAGCTGTGTTTTATTCAAGGGTTAATTTAAAATATCGTCATGCATTTTTTCATGCAAATGAAGCTCATCACAGAAATGCATGCAATTTGTGGAATACTAATTTAATAATTAATGTAATCATTTTAATGTATTTATTGAATATAATACTGACAGTGTGGGCCACATTCAGGTTTGCAGCCTAATTTTTTTGGCCATGTTTGCAGCCCAAATAATTCCTAAAATAAATCATGTGCTGAAACAACACAGGCAGTGTGTGCAAATAAATGACTGGACACAGTTGAGTGAGTGAATTCCCCTCTCAGATGTAGAATGTACAAATACTGCAGGTTCAGATGTCTAAAAATATCTGCACATCAAAAGCAGAACAAACACATTCACAAACACTTATGTTCTTTCTATATTTGCTTCTCCCTCTCCCGTCCTCACTGAACTTTGGACCTTCACATGATGGTCACACACACACACACACACACACACACACACACTCACTCACTCTCATACACACAGACACAGGTTTGGAAGTGAAGGCTGCCTGAAGCATGATTGATGAGCGGATTTATTAGTCCTTATATTGTTCTGTGAGTGTGTGTTTATCTAAGTGTGTGTTCTCTCTGTTTTTAAATCCACTTTCTGGAGATGTCTTGTCATTTCCTGCCTGATTAGCTGTAGTTGCAGGAAGTTGTTGGCATTTATCTATAATCTAACAAGATACGGGTTAGATTTTCCCTTCTGAAAAAACACAAACACATGCAAACACAGAAACACAGTAACTTTCTTATTATACATGCTCCTTATTGTGTATGATTTATTAGTGCAAGGTCTTTCAAAGAATTCAAACGGGTGAAAAACGTAACTTTGAAAAGACTTTCTTTGGCAGTTATAGTCATAAATATACTGTGTCACTCACATAAACATATTCGAAAGTGAATCACGATGTAATCACATTGGTCATAATCACATTAGTGTTGTTTTGGTGTTATTTTATGTATTATATATTTTATTGTATTATTGGCGTATTATATAATTGTGTTACACGCTTTTGTCATTTTTAGTAGCTTTAGTTTTTTAAATATTTCTATTTAGGTTTAATTTATTTTTATTTTAGTTTGTCATTTTAGTACTTTAACTTATTTATTTCAGTTAGTTGCCAAGTGTAACAATTGTAATTTTCATTTAAGTGTAAATTTTATTTTGTGAAAGTTTTTAATCTAAAATGTAATTTAATTTAAAAAAAATTATTTAGTTTTTAATTAATTACCATTTTATTTTTTTTTTAATTTAATTGAACTTCTCATTTTGTTTAATAATTTTATTTCAGTTTTATTTTCATTCTAGTAGTTTCTGTACTTCAGTTTATTTATTTCAGTTAGTTGCCAAGGCAGCATTTCTCATTTTTAAGTGTAAAAGTTTTTAATTTATATATTTTTAAATTTTATTTATTTTATTTCTTTATTTTATTTAGTTTTATAAAAATTATTTACGACACTATATCACATTATGTCAGTTATTATTTGCACAAAGTAGAATTTGAAGCATCGAAAATGGCCAACTCTCATTGAAAATGTATGACTTATGGTCGCTTTTTTCTTGCAATTGTAACCCAGGAGTGTTTTGGCTTCCATCAAATCGATTACACATTGACAGTTCAACAGTAGCACACCTAGGTACACACCGCAGTAGTTACCAAAGCAGTGATTATTAGTCTTTTTTTATCTGGTTATCTGTACATGACTGTGATCTATTTTTTAGGCTTTAATGTATAAGCTGTCATTCTGATCTGTATGTATGTATGTGTGTGTTTGTAATCCTGTGATCTTTCTGTGTGTGTGTGTGTGTGTGTGTGCAGGTCATCACACAGTCTACATTGGAGTTCACGTGCCTAAGAGTTACCGTCGCCGTCGACGACATAGACGACGATCCAATCACAAAGAGAGGAGAGAGCGTTTGATGGAAAACGTCAGCGACAAATCAGACACAGAGACTGCAGACGATCCGTCCTCCAGCATCCTCAAACCTCTCAGTAAGTCACAAATGAAGACAAAAATCACCCATCATGCATCACTTCACTGCTGTAGGCCTGTGGTATCAATATGATGCAAATAAAAACAAAAACAATACTTACTTACTTTATTTAAATTAATTATTATTACTATTATTTAAAAATGTCTGTATATATAATATTATATATATATAATATTTAAATCATATGAATATATATTATATTATATATTATTTAAATGAATTTAGATTATTGTAATTTAGTATATATTATTATGATTTTCAAGTGTTTGTATATCATTGTAGTATTTGCTGAATTAATTAAAATGAATAATATAATTATAGTAATATATATATATTATATATAGTAATACACACATATATATATATATATAT